CTCCATGACCTTAATATGCTTCTTCTTGAGCCAATCCTTTGTTGCCTTGGCCGTGTGTTTTGGATCATTGTCATGCTGCAATACCCAACCACGACCCATTTTCAATGCCCTGACTGAGGGAAGGAGGTTCTCACCCAAGATTTGACGGTACATGGCCCCATCCATCCTCCCTTTGATGCGGTGCAATTGTCCTGTCCCCTTGGCAGAAAAACACCCCCAAAGCATAATGTTTCCACCTCCATATTTGACGGTAGGTACGGTGATTTTGGAGTCACAGGCAGCATTCCTCCTCCTCCAAACACGGCGAGTGCAGTTGATGCCAAAGAGCTCGATTTTGGTCTCATCTGACCACAACACTTTCACCCAGTCTTCCTCTGAATCAGTCAGATGTTCCGTGGCAAACTTCAAACGGGCCTGTAGATGTGCTTTCTTGAGCAGGAGGACCTTGCAGGCACAGCAGGATTTCAGTCCTTCACGGCGTAGTGTGTTACCAACTATTTTTTTGGTGACTATGGTCCCAGCTGCCTTGCGATCATTGACAAGTTTCTCCTGAGTAGTTCTGGGCTGATTTCTCACCGTTCTCATTATCATTGAAACTCCACGAGGTGAGATCTTGCATGGAGCACCCAGCTGCTTGGCGATGGTCTTGTAGCCCATTCCAGCCTTGTGTAGGTCCACAATCTCGTCCCTGACATCCTTGGAAAGCTCTTTGGTCTTGGCCATGGTGAAGAGTTTGGAATCTGGATTGATTGATTGCTTCTGTGGACAGGTCTCTTTTATACAGGTAACGAGCTGAGAAGGCTCCCAATGTCAGCTCGTTACCTGTATAAAATACACTTGGGAGCCAGAGATCTTGCTGACTGATAGGGGATCAAATACTTATTTCATTCATGAAAATGCAAATTAATGTACAACTTTTTTTGCAATGCATTTTTGTGGATTTTTTTGTTATTGTGTCTCTCACTGTTCAAATAAACCTACCATTGAAATTGTAGACTGATCATTTCTTTGTTAGTGGGCAAACTTTCAAAATCAGCTGGGGTTCAAATATTTTTTCCCCTGACTGTAATTATACTTTATATTAATATGGTTCTGAAATGTAACTAGTAACTAGTTACGTTTCAGCTGTGGCCTAGGAGGTAGAGTGGGTCATTTCCTAACCGGAGGATTAGCAGTTCGATTCCCGGGTTGTCCAGTCAACATGTCGAAGTGTCTCTGAGCAAGACACTGAACCCTCAGTTGCTCCCGGTGATAACGCCAGTGTGTGAATATGTGAGCGTTTGTGAGTGCGAATGGGTGAATGGCCAAGTAGTGTGAAAGCACTTTGAGTGTGCTGTAAAGTGTAGAAAAGTGCTATACAAGTATAAAACTATTTAACTAAAGCTATAAAATAAATGTAGTGCAGTAAGAAGTACAATATTTGAAAGAAAGAGTTTTTCAGTCTAGAGGCCTTGCATTTCACACTTCTGAGCCACTGACCGGAGGGCAGGGGTATCAACAGTCTTTGAGGATGGAGGCAGCTTTCCTACGCACCGGAAGGTGGTAAATGCTCTGCAGAGAGGCCAGTGGAGTCCTGGTGATCTTCTCCACAGTCTTTACTACTCTCTGCAGGCGCTTGTGGTCCATAGCAGTAGTGCTGCCATACCAGACCGTGATGCAGCTGGTCAAGATGCTCTCAATGATGCAGCTGTAGAAGTTGCAAAGGATCCTAGGCAACATGCCAAAACTCGGATGAACAGTGGCTGATGAGTTCTTCTCTCCTTCCTCATGTCCACTATCATCTCCTTCGTCTTGACCGTGTTGAGGCTGAGATTATTGTCCTTGCACCATGACACCAAACCGGCCGCCTCCCTCCTGTAGGATGCTTCGTCCCTGGCAGTGATGCGACCTATCACTGCGGTGTCGTCCGCAAACTTTAGGTTGATATTGCCTTTGTGGGAGGCAACACAGTCGTGGGTGAACAGGATAGGACTGAGGACACATCCCTGTGGGGTGCCAATGTTCGTGATAATGCTGGCTAAGGTCCTATTGCCAATCCTGACAGTCTGGGGCCTGCCAGTCAGAAAGTCCTGGAGCCAGTCACAGAGGATGGGGTGCACACCCAGTGTGGACAGTTTGCGGGTAGGTTTGTGGGGGATAACTGTGTTGAAGGCGGAACTGTAGTCAATGAAGAGTTTCCTGATGTAAGAGTCTCCATTTTCCAGGTGGGAAAGGGATTAGTGGTCCAGGTGTGTGCGTGCTTCCTCCCTGTGCTGTGGCTAGAGGTCTCAAAGCGGGTGTAGAAGGTGTTGAGGTCATCCGGTAGGCTGTCTGTGGGGCTGATGATGCTGGTGGTGGTCCTGTAATCTGTGATGTGCTGCAGGCCTTGCCACATCCATCCGGTACCTGGTCACATACTCAGCATAGTCCTGTACGCTGACAGAAAAGTCCTCCATGGTGGCTGCAGCTTTAAACACATCCCAGTCTGTCTGGGTTTAACTTGATTTAATGGCGGATTCTGGAACTTTGTCTGACAGCCAGGTCTTGGTGAAAATGAGA